TCCCTGGTCCTCCCTGTCTCTCCACAGCCCTGAGCCAGAACCAGGGACCCGCTAATGTTTTCATTTCACATCTTTATACAGCACAGTGGCAGAGGAGGGATTTCTGCCACATGACTGTTCAGAGAATACCTGTTAACTGGAGTTTGGCTCCTGAGATCCAAGGCAAGGCAGGGACTACACAAAACTGGGAAGAATCTAAAGTCTAGGTGCTGAACTGCATGAATTCATTTCCAGGAGGCAATGCTGAGGGGCTACGACTCCATGCAAGATCAAGTTCTACAGCTTAAATGCAGAACAATCAAGGGCCTGATTCTGGAGCAAACACTTAGGTTCAAGTCTTCATCTACTCTCTGCTGTCATGATCTTGGGCAATTTACTTAACCACTGATGTCTTAGTTTCTTCATCTGTGCTTATGAGGGTGACTACACGAGTCTTATGAGGACGATGCTTAGTTACTGCTGCACAAGTCATTGCTTTGATTGCTATGATTAATTTTGAGACTTGGAACATAGAAAAATATAAACCTCACTGAATTTCATTTTCCTTTTTGGTAGCAAAGGAACAATGATGCCTCAGAGAGTTGCTAAGGGGCAGAGGGAAACACCTGGCCAACATATGTCTCCCAGCACTGGCCTTGGGGGCCCTGCGTGTAGAGCACCGTCTTGTTGGCCTTTGTGTACGGCATGGTAGAGGTCAGAATGCTTGTCTCCCCCAAGACCCATGTGCTGGTGCTGTTTCTCCTGAGTCCCATTCCAGACCCGGGTGTGGGCCACTGCCCTCCTTCAGGCGCTGTTCTGGTGGCGAAGAAGGTGGGAGGATCTATCCAATGACTTGTGGTATTTTTGGTAGCCCCTTCCTGTGGGGTGGGAAGGAGGAAGGAAGAAAGGTCATTCACATGTTTATAATTAAGAATCTAGCTTGGGCACAGCAAGGACACCACTGGGTTGCTTCCGGTTAGTCATTCTCTGTCTCCGTCTATCTCTGTCTCTATCTCTGTCCCTCCCTCCTTTCCCTTCTATCCCCCACTCAGCTCTACCTCCTCTCTCTCTCCAGCTCTAGTATCCTTTTTCCTCCTCTCCCTTCCTGTTCCTTTCCTCTCTCCCTGATCATCACCACTTGACTGGAGTGGCCCCATCATAGGGAGTCAGTTGTGATGGACAGTGTGTATTTTTCCCTAATGAGCATCAGAAATGGTTCTATGGCTCCGGGTGACACAGGTGTCTCTTCTCAACCTCATTGGAGGTTCTGGTCAAGTTCATAAGGAGATTGGAGTTCAGTGAGTGAAGTGAGAGACTAATGTTCAAGGTCAGGCTGTTAGTGACAGAAGGACCTAGGTCTGTGTGACTTCAAAGCCCTGGTACAGAACAATGACTTTCCATGGCCTCTTTGGCTTATAGATCTTGAAATTTACGCTAGTATGGTATGCTTTGAGCAAACAACCCTCAGAAAGCCCCTCCTTCCCTGCCTGCCCTCCCCCACCACTCAGGGTGTGCTTGCATGATGACCAGGTTAAAATGGACACCAGAACTGCCCAGTGGGGCTGGGACAATGGCCCACCTTCAGCTGTTTGCTGTGAGAGGACTATTCTCTCTCCTCTGTGAATGAGCACGTGGCCTGTTGTTCTTCCTAGGGTCATTTGCAAAAGCTGTTGAGTCTTTCCTGATGGATTCACAGTAATGAGATAGCAGGGAACAGGAGATGTAGTGTCCACGGCCCCAGGTTCTCACTACAGTATTTTTAGTTTCTTTATCTGGGAAAGGGGTTTAAGTTTTTCCCCTCACCTTGAAAGGACCACAGCGGCATGGTCTGGGATATGCTGTATGGTACACATGTACAAGCAGTAAAGAGGACAAGGAGATAGATAAGGACTCTGACATGGGAGTGTGGTGGGAGGGAAGCCATGGTGGGAAATGGCCCAGGTTAGGTCTTGATGATGGGTGATCATCTGGTTTGGACAGTGGTGGGAAAATGAATGTCCGGTCTGAGCAGTGATGGCTGGTACCATCCAGTCTGGGCGGTAGGTGACCATCCAGTCTGAGCACTCACCTCAGTGTTCATGCTGTTCACTTTGTCAAGGAGAGCAATGATCAAGCTGTAGAGATTTCCCAGGTACAGCACCAATACCCTGAAAATCACAAGCTGCCCTGAGAAACAAGACCAGCACACACAGGGCCACAGGTCCAGAATCTCCAGATGGTTCTAAGCCATTGTAGATATGCCAAAAGAGTTGCTGCTAGTGTGGCTTTGCTTGAGTCACCTGAGTGGCATTAAAAATCACAGATTACAGGGCAGGTGACGTGGCTCAGTAGGTAAAGGCACTTGCTGCCAAACCTGACCATTTGAGTTCGATTCCTGGGACCTACATGGTGGAAGGAAAGAACTAATTCCCCCAAGTTGCTATCTGATTTCCACAGGCATGTTGTAGTATGTGTATGTGTGTGTGTGTGTGTGTGTGTGTGTGTGTGTGTGTGTATACAAATAAAAATAATGCAAAAGAAAACATAGCCGCAGACTTCCCAAATCCTCCTGCTTCAGCAGGTATGGACGGGTTGGGAGTCTGGCAATCACAGTAGCCATCCTTGGACCAGTGTGTTGGAAACACTAGTGCAGCAGACTGAACTTGGGTTTGGGAGTGGAATTCTGTGGAGTGACATAAAATGCCTGTTCCAAGGTGGATTTCCCTGCACTGTCTCATTTGATTTTTGAAAGGAAGTCTATAAAGATTACGTCTTTACAATTTCCATTCAAGGGCCCAGTGACTAGTGACACAAAGAGCTGAATGCAGCTCAGTTCATGAGGTTCAACGGATCAATGTGCCATGTGGGAATCTCAGTGCTCTGCTTTGGAAACACAGGCTGGGGTCCTCAGCAGCACAGAGGGCCTGGGTCAAAGCTACATCATGCAAGCAGCTGCTAGTGAGTGAAATCTGGCCGCAGCAGTCTCCCTCTGCCAATCACTATAGACCTGATGTCAGTTCCCCCTGCGTGGAAGGTTTGGGAAACATCCTGCCGTTGCCCAGGGTCTTATGGGAAATCTGTCTAAAGAAATAAGACAGGAGAGGAAAATAGCAGCTTTTCAGATACTTCAAGGGGTTGGCCATGAACACACTGGGAATCATGGGATCAGTCTCTGGTGATGGGAGAACAGCTTCATCTTAATGCAAAAATTCCACATAGAAATGACAACTCAGTCATCCCTAGGGCCCCCCTTCACCTCTGCAGGGTAGAGGTGACACTGTGTGGACAAATGGCTTCATCAGGGGACACCCTTCCCATTATCAGTGGCTTTCCCTCTGAAATGGTGAAGGGGTTCCCTCTGGCATCACCTCAGGATGATCTCTGCACATGCTGCAGCATGTGTGGGTTCCAGACCCTATGAATGTCCCCAGTGAGTGCTGGAGGAAGGACCTGGGCTATTGCTGCTGCTTAGATAAAAGGTAGCATGGCCTGCTGGTAAGTTATTGGAACAGAAACAATATGTCTTGCTCTTATTACTAGAATTATCCCTCATTTGTCTGGGGTTAAGTCTCCCGATGGCTTTGTTTCTCTAGTTTTGAGTATGAGTAACGAGGCCAATCTGTGTAATAGGATTGCTGTTACACCAAATGCAATAATGGAATTGATTCTCCCCAATGCCTGTGGGCAAGGAAGGAACCTAGAAAGGCCCTTCTCATCCAGGTCAGAGAGGTGCAGAATGGAGTAGAAGAAGGAGGTGAGGAGCCAGGGGCCCTTGAGCCTCACCCTGCCCCAGGTCTACCCTGCATTGTGGAGTTTTGGTCAACTCCTTGATCTTTCTAGTTATGGTCTTCTGTCTTTGAAATAGTGGTAGAATGTCACGGGTTAGTGAGCTGTTGTAGTCTTTAAGTCAGACCTTTCCCTCACCTATTTTTGTAAATAAAGTGGCATGGCCACACAGCTCAGCAGTTTGTTTGCCTGACACCTGTGACTGCTTTCATGTTCCTAACTTAGAGCTTGGAGTTGGGACAGAGATGTATGTGTGGGTAGCAGAATCCAAAATATTGACTGTCAGGGGCTGGAGAGATGGCTCAGTTGTTAAGAGCATTGGCTGCTCTTGCAGAAGACCTGGGTCCGGCCCCCAGCACCCACATGGTGGCTAACTACCATCTATAACTCCAGTTCCAGAGGATTCAACACCCTCTTCTGACCACTGCAGGCATTTCATGACACGGGTACACTTACATCCATGCAGGCAAATGCCATAAAATAAAAATAATAAATAAAATACTAAAATATTGACTGTCATGCTCTTTTCGGAAGATGTCCTCTGACTCTTGAGTGGAAGCAAGCCTTCTGAAAGCAGTCTGAAATTTGGGGAAGGTCATGAGGGATCACAGATGAGAGCCTGGAGAAGCCCTAGTGAACAGGGTGGGGAGCATGCAAATGGGGCTCTATACCTCTCTCTGCCATACTGTTTACCAACACAGCAACTAAACTGGAGGAGGAGACAGAACTCCATGGAACAGAAGCAGGTTTTCAGGAAGACAGGCATGATGCCCTTCCTAGAAAGCAACATGGCTCTAACTCCAGAAAGGCAGTCTTGGGATGTTCCCTTGGGTACACAATCTTCTGTGACTCAGGCCACCTTTGCGTCATAGTCAAACCATGGAGGGAATTTAATGATGAAGAAAACCAAGCTGCGTTCTGTCGTCTTCTTCCTCCTCTGTGTCTGCTTTTCCTGCCTACTTCTTCCCTCTTCCCCCTCCTCCTCTTCATTACAGTTATATTACCTGCATCATTCTGAACCCCCCCCTCTTCCCGTCTCCTTTCCTTTCCCTTCCACTGTCCCAAGCTTCTCTTGAGCTGCAAAGGGAAAGTTCTATGCTAAATGCCAGAGAAAGGACACAAGCCCTGGTTCTTCGGAGATTTTGTCCCTTCGGGTGGCAGATGGCTGAACTATGGTGGGGTCCAGAAAGCAGGATGTCATACCTTGCCAGCTGGAAGCGCAGTGTGGTTCGGGGGTGGTACATCTCCAAGGCAGCGATGAGGTCAAAGGCAGAGGGTGCCAGCATGGTGACAAGGGAGACTACCACACTCACCTATGGAGAGAGCACATGCCAGATCTGGGCTTCTTCTTCCCTCACCACAGCTCATTCAACTGCATTTGGTCTGATATCTGGTCATTCAGTATTCACCGGACACCAAGCCCCTGATTAGAAACCTCTCCAAGTTTTTTATTCCTTTTCTAGAAGACCTCCATCATCCCATCGCCAACTTGTTCCTTTCTGGACTTCCTTTTAGAATTCTGAGGGCACTCTCTCATGCCATCTGGGGCTCACTAGCATTTCTGTCACATCTGTCAATTACCAAATCATTGTGTTTATTCTTCCCTGGCCTTGGATGGAGGATGGAAATAATTGCGATTATTACGAATAGAAAGGGGAAGGCAGAGAGGTAATTGAATATTCTCTGTGTACATGGGAGATTAATTACCTAGAGAAGCATGCCTGGCTCTTGTTTGTCTGGACTTATAGCAAAAGAAAAGAAGCGTTTGAGTTGGTATATAAAACGTTTGAGCTAAAATAAGAAATAATCTCTGAGTAGATCTTTAAAAACCTGCCCATCTATTTATAAATGTGTAAGACGGTATACATTTACTTGGCTAACATAACTGATATAAAATAGAAAAGATATTTTAGGGACTGTCTTGGGAAAAGGTTACCTAGTGTAAAGTCAGGTTTAAGAAATGATTGCACATTGATGAATACATTCAGGATAAATCCGTAGTCATCTAATTGCTTACACAATCCACTTTTTAAGTAGATGCTGGTTATTTTTTATCAGAGTAGTCTGAAAGGTAGTTTTGCACTATTGCTGCCTTTTCAATTCTTTACAGACAAATTGGACCAAACTTTCAGGACAAGAGTCTTAGAACAAATACTAAAAAATTCTAAAATTGTCCATAACCTTCTACTTGGTAATTTTCTATTTATTGGCATTTAACACAAATAGAGGTGGGTTGTTCAGTGTACAAGCTGTTCGTGTGGATTTGGTTCTGGAAAGTACTTAAGTGTTAGACAGCAGGCAGTTGGTGGAGTTTGATACACAAACTGAGATTCAGCCAGAGCCCATGCCTGGAAGAGTGGATGTGAAGGAACAGAAGTAAGGAAAAATGGCAAAGCTCAACCACGAAGGTCAGTATGAAGACCTAGGGGTGTTCATCAATCAAGATCCTTCCAGTCCTTTAACCAGGCCTTGTGCTTGCTGAATGTCCTTGTCCCTGCTGTAGGACCAAAGGACTGAATTGTTCACTAGAGACATTTTACCCTACTCCACTAAAGAAACAGAAGCATTGGCAATATTGGCGTTCCTCTTGGAGTGTACCTGCTAACATAACTACTGGGCACTGGTACCTCATTCTTTTCCCAAAGCGTCAGCTCCTTCTTTGACTGTTCCAGCTTCTGGGACCTGTCCACCACAAAATAGATGAGATAGATGCTGCCTGCCAGTGAGAGGAGCACCAGGATGTTGGCGATGATCCTCAGGCAGATGGTCACTGCCCTGCAGAGAGAGACAGCGCCATGATGCAGATGGTGGGATTTAGGGACAGGAGCCTGTCCTCTGCTTAGGGGCTCTCTGCTTTACCCAGCTCAAATCCTCATTTTCTAAGAGATCAACACAGAGTTATAAATTCAACCACCCAGCATCTTGGAACTTTTTTGGGTTTAGGACAAACAACCAAGCAAACATTGGTTTTAGAATCCAAGTATGTAGGTTTCAGTTTCAGTTTCGTCACTTAAAATTGGAGTCCTATAGTACTGAGGGATGGCACAGTTAATAAAATGCCTGCCATGCAAGCATCAAGACCTGAGTTTGGATCCCCAGGACCCACATAAAAAGTGCAGGCAAGGTGACAAGTGCCTGTAACCCTAGCACTTGGTTGTGGGGAGGCAGAGATAGGCAGATCACCAAAGTTAGCTGGCTGGCCAGCCTATCCAGATCATTGCAATTTAGGTTTAGTCAGAGATGCTGTCTCAAACCTTAAAGGTGGAGGGTGATTGAGGAAAGATGTCTGACATCTACTTCTGGCCTTCCTGTACTTGCCTATGTACATGCTGGACTACACTAGCAAATATATGCAACACCACACACACGCATACACACAAACACACACACACACACACACACACACGCATGCACGCACGCATGCACGCACTTGGAGTCCTATGATGCAGACAGCAATTCATGTCAATGTGTTTGGCAGAAGAGGAGGGACTGAGAGGAGGAGGAATTGCTTGCCTGTCCGCTGACAGTTAATGGCCTGCCCATCATTCCACACAATGTGTCTGACATCTTGCCATGTATTTACTTGATTATTCTCTTTCCCTCTGGAGTATGAATTCTTAGAATCTTTAATCTTCTGTGTCCACAGCTCTGAGCACACCTCAGCATATTTAAGTGCTTAATAAACATTTGTTAGATGACCCAGTCAGTAATAGAGCAGCCCAGTGACCATGAGATGGGATGTGTGCACATTTCCTTCCTCATTTGGTCTCATTTCCCTAGAGGCTCTGATAGTGTGGGAAGATTTATAAATCAATAGTGATTCTAGAACTTAAGTAGAACACACTTTTTTTGAGCACTGGGCAACTGACTGGCTGACCAGTTGGTGGATTCCTAAGGCTTTTTTTGTTGTTATGAATTTTAGGGGTTGTTTTAGTTTGGTTTGCCTGAAAGCCAAACTCTACAGAAAGATTTGTCTGCAGATAGTTGATTTTGGAAATAGTTCCAGAAAGCAGGAACTCCTCCAGTGAGGGCTGGAGAAGTGGTAGAGAGATGAGCTATCACCGAAGGATGAGTGGTGGAATTGGCCACAGCTAGAGGCAGCTGGAGGCCTTCTCAGAGCCATGGACACTCCCAGACTGCCCAGCATTAAACAGACAAGGCTTCATCCCCATTCCCTGTGGCCCAGAGTAAGTTCATGGACAATCTTTCTCAGTGTACATCCAGTTTGTGAATGACAGTACATGAGCATGGGCTTGGATCCTGGGAATACTTCCCGGAGCAGCCCTGGAGGCAGCCACCAGTAGGGTCATGCAAGGGGATATGCATGCAGCTAGTGTAGCCTGCACAGTCCTGTCTGAAGAAAGGGGAAGGGCCAAGAGGATTTGAAGGGGCACATAAGAAGCATACTATCCCTTCCATGAAGCTCAACCACTGGAGACCTTGGGCAGATCATGACATTCCCCTCTGTGTATATTTCAGCCCTTCAACTGCATACAAAGGAACCAAGTCCTAAATGAAATGATGAAGGGCACCTTCAAGGTCAAAAGAAAAACACATGCTAGATACAGTGGAGCTCTGAGGCAGAGCCATCCATGTCATTCTGCCTCCAGAGCATACAGTGATCATTCCTAGGATCATGCTATTCACATAGGGTCAGTCTGGAGGAATCAATGGATGGTCTCATGGCCATGCACCTGCCATCCTTCCTGGTGATCACACCAGTAAAGGTGTTTTGGGAATCAGAGCAGAGTGGCCAATCAAATGAAAATGCACCCCTTTCTCTGCTCCTCTCCTGGTCCTGAGTATCAATTATTTGTCTTCCTCAGAAGAGGACTTGTGGAAGAGGGATGAAAAGCTGCTTCCTTTGCTTGCTTGAGTGATGAATCATTGTAGGTCTGTTTGACCTGGAATGAACTTAGGGTGGCTATAATTTTCACACATTCAAATCACTTGGTAAGACTTGCTAAAAAGATGAACTCTCTGTTCTACAGCTAGAGATGTTAATCTAGCAAACTGAGCTCTGCTTTCAGAGTCTATAGATGACTGCTTATTTTCTGGACCTCTCAGAAGTCTGATGGGTCCCATCTGTCACTTCTCTATGGACAAGATACAAGTCAGAAAGGTCGAGGGAACTTAGTGGGTTTCAGGAACTCATGCCGGGGAGGCCTGGAATCCACCCCTCCCAATTGCCCCTGTGGAGCCCTTCCCATCACTGTTTCCTTCATTCTCAGAAGCCAAGTGTCCATGCCTTTATCCAGCACCATAAAAACTTAAGAGGAGGACTACAGAACCAGAAGGGATAGGAGGTGGGGGAAAATGTCTGTCTCAACAAAGACAGGGCCATCATCTCTTCCTTGCCATCAGTTCCTTTGTTAAAGATCTCACAGCAGACCCAGCAGATCATCTTGGGAGACTGTGGACATGAACTCCTTGTTTCATAGGATTTCAGATATTTGTTTCTAAATAAAATTAGTCCTAATGCCACTCACATGTTTGCTTCCTTTAGCAAACTAGAAATTGGCACTAAAAATACCCATTTTATTATGTAAGTAAAAGAACAGGAAACCTGTCAATTTCAGACCTCCCATCCTGCTTTGACAGCTATGCAAGGAGGAAGCACTCCTTAGTAAGCTGTGGGAAAGGAATGGGGTCCCCACAGTCACAGTACTAAGGAGACTGGTATTAAGAAGGAGGAGCTGCCTCACAATTATGAAAACAAGATAAATATAATTTGATTAATTTTTGTGCCAAATTAGATCCAAACGTAATGAGTAGGAATATTAATACTTGCATGTTTTTGCTTTTTTTCTTTTCCTGTTCTTCTAGTATCGCCTCCTTGAAGGAAAAACAAATACAGCATCAGAAGCTTAGCATTGTAAGGAAATAGAATCACTAGAAATAATTTATTCAGCTGGGCACAGCCCTATAATCCCAGAACTCATGAGGTGGAGGCATGAGGATCAGGAGTTAAGGGGCATCTTTGGTCACATAATACGTCTACTGCCAGCCTGAGCATCAATAAAAGTATTATGCAGTATTTTAATTCTTATCTTCAATATCTAAGACTTTCTTCTGTAAGTATCTATTGATCATAGTGAATTAGGTATCAATTATCTAATCTATTGAGATAAAGAAATTAGAGATGGGGGGCTGGAGAGATAGTTCAGCAGTTAAGAATACTGACTGTTCTTGCAGAAGACCTGGGTTCGAATCCTAGCATCCACATGGCAGCTAACAACTGTCTGTAACTCCAGTTCCAGGGGATCTGACCATCTCTTTTGTCCTCTGCGGGCATTGCAATACATGGGTGCACTTACCTACATGCAGGCAATACATGCATACACACAAAATAAAAATAATAAATATTAAAGAAATTAGGGATTGGGAAAAAATGGAAAGAGGAAGACTGATACATATTTTGAATTATGGAAATATTTTTTTTCTCAAAATAAGGCACCTATGACATTCAGCTAATGCAAATCTGGTTTTGATCACCTTTACTTATAAGTCAAAGATAAAAACATATGCATAATGTATAGAATATTTATTCATTCATAGATTATACACATACACTATGGTAAGAATCCATCGTGTAAATTATCCAAATTGCACAAATCAAAATTTTAGAAGGATGAAACAAGTCACAAAAATAAAGAGAAGTTCTGAACTTTCGTTCTCATGCCCTATGGGTTCATTTGGTGCATTTCCAGAACAGGCTCACTTTAGTGGGACTGTTGCCCTGGACCAAGGCCTGACGGGAAGAGGGCAGTGCCGACTCTGCCAGCAGGGGGCGCCAGCTGTGTGACTGTTCAGGCTCCTCAGCATCCTCCCTGGTCTACTGGACAGAAGCCTTCACTCACCCTGATGCTGTTCACAATGGCAGCGGTTTTGCTCTCTGCAGCTTCTGGGTTTCCAATGAGGTAATCCCAGGCACAAAACACCCGCCAGCAGAAGGTGTAGTTTTCATTGGAAGCACTGGCGAGGCTGGTGCGGGAGTTCTTAGCCATCCTGCAAAAGATGACCCCAGGCCAGGTCACAGGGGCAGGGACGGGGGCAGGGATGGGCCCACATTGGCTAAGGTGGACCACAACCTGATGCACAGCCTTTGTGCAAACTGCATAGCCGTTTCCTGACACAGCTCCTCAGTCACTGCTTGGCAAGCAGAGAGCTGGGGATGTCACTGTCTCTTGAACGCTCAGACTACCCTTTCACTAGTGTGGAAACTACAGAGGCCATTATCTTGTGAGCCCATTTGATAGTCCCACCAGCACTGTAGTGGCCAATCGTCACTGAGGTGTGCTGGTCTCTGGAGGTCTCATGTCTGCGGCAGTGTTATGGCCCTCCCTCTGAGCTGAAGTTGCCCGTGGTAACTTCTCCCAAGGGATTCCAAAGAACATGCTTGGACACAGCATTCCTTTAGATACTTGAAGTCAGTAGACATGAACTCTCCTCAAATGAAGCTCTGTCTCTACGACCACTTCTCCAGTAATAAGCTTTTGGCTTTCCTCCCTACTGATATATTTCTTGCTCCCAAGTTTGGTCTGACTTGATTTTAAAAGGCAAAGTTAAAGGACTGATGTTGTTCTGTGGGATCTTGAGGCCACCAGAAGTTAAGCTGGAAAGTTTCAGTCATCTGAAGGCCCCCAAGTCACTGTGGATCTTCTCAGGTTTTGTGGATTTGCTTATTTATTATGCTGTTTCTGACCCGAAGCACTGCTATTTGCACTTGGCTAGCATGGCACCTGGGCAGGGGCAAAGAGCAGAAAGTACACATGAGCTGAGGTGGGGGTCAGGGCTCTCCCTGGGTCAGAGTCCCTCTGACATGCTTCAGTTTTTCTAGCTCTACATAGAAGCACTGGAGGCCAAGCTGGAAGGGAACCTGGTGGTTGTCTGAGTCAACCTACCCAAAGAGGGAAAGTTGAGGTTGCCACATGACTCAGAATGGAGCTCCCAGCAGAACTCTTAACTCTAGCCAGTTTGCTTTCTTTTGTACTGTGCTCTCCCCTCAAGGATGACTAGGAGGCATCAATGGCAGTTTGCCACCAGGTCACAAATAAACATATAGCCAAAGAGGGCCGTTTGCTTTCTGTCACCTCTGCTCACCTAGAATGTATTATTCGTCTTTCATAAGTATAGTTATGGTATGAAATTATATATTCTGTAAATCTCTAAGCTTGCCCCTCCAGACCCCTCACAGAATCTAGCACAAGGTAGCTGTTGAATCTCCTCTTCTGTATAATGTGTACAGTGACCCCTGACTATACAGGGTAATTGACAGGATGAAATGAAATCACACATGTCCTAACTCCTGACATGGGCTTGAGAAATTGACAGTCATACTTCTTTAAGAGAATGATGAAGCTGTAGGCAAACACTGCCATCCCCACCAGGAAATAGGCCAAGGGCAGGCGGTAGCCGGCTCTCCCGATCCTCCTTTCTCTGCCGTAGTAGCCATAGAACAGGACGGAGTACTGGAGGTATCCCTGGGAAGAGAACACTAGAGTAGTTTCTGATCCCAGGTCCCAGAACTGAGGCCCTTCATCCCTCCCTTAAGGCCAGAGCATAGCCAACATCAGCCTCACCCCCAGGGACCAGATGGTATCCAGATCTTGGGCAGACATGACCTGCTCCTGGGGGATGGTCTTGCTGACTGTGCTTCCAAAAGGCTGGCCTGCGATCAGCTGTTAAGAGAGGAAAAGATGGCATGTTCCTCTGGCCAAGGGAACTGGAGAAAAAGGACAGTAGATGCCCCATGTGCCTGTGGAGATGCCATACACAGAGCATCTCTTGGGGATGGATTTCTGGTACATTTCCTCTGACAGGAAGGTAATCTCCAGTGACAGATTTCTTTGGCCTGATTAGGGCTTGCCTACCTGTGTCATTATTGCCTGAGCCCATTTGATAGAACTAGAAGTAGTGTCTATGGGTAGATCATTGTCGGCCCCAACTCTGCTTACTTTATGAGGAAATGAATGGCCCTGTTTGTTTAAGAGGATAAAGTTCAGTTGGAACACTGGGTAGACACAAGGGTATATAGACCAAATCCAGTAGTCTGTTCTCTTCTTATGTGGCCTGAGAGCTATGAATGATTTCTCATTTTGAAATGGATAGGGAAAATTATAAAAAGAAAAATAATACTTGGGAACAAATTTTAAAATTATATGAAATTTAAATTTCAGCAACACTTACTGATCTGTGAACTGCTTACAGCTGTTCTTGAGGTATAAGGCAGGTTTGAGTACTAGTGACAAAGTGTGAAATATCAGGGCTGGATAGATGGCTCAGCGGTTAAGAACACTGGCTGTTCTTGCAGAAGACCCGGGTTCGAATCCCAGCACCCATATGGCAGCTAACAACTATCCGTAACTCCAGTTCCAGGGGATCTGACAGCCTCTTCCGTCCTCCATGGGTATTGTACGACATGGGTGCACTTACCTACATGCAGGCAATACATACATACACATAAAATAAAATGAAAAATAATAAAATAAAAATATTTTTAAAAAGTGTGAAATACCTACCATGTGGCCCTTTGCAGAAAAAGCTGCTACCCCCAAACTGGCCTTCACACCAGGATAATAAGAATGGCCAATTGAACCACCTACCACTCCCTCCCTTTAGTGCCTGGCACCTTCCCATCCCGGGACAGTTCTTACCTCTGGAATGACAATAAAAGCACCTGTCATCACTGTGAGCACGATGTTAATTCCGAACAACCACCTCAAGAATATGAAGTAGGAGGCCACACCCGACCCAAAGTGACCTATAGAAAGACAAGATGAGAATAGGTCTGCTCAACCCTCATAGTGCAGCGTCTCCACTGGATAGCACTACGATTTTGCCCTCACCAGCAGCACACACAGGAAGAGGGCTGTTATTGTATCCGAGTCCCCCAGTGGCAGCTTAGCTGCCTGTGTTTGTCCTCTGGTTGAATATGCAGAAAATAAACTCTAGTTTACCAAAAATACTATTTAAATGTTCTTAAAGACTTATTTTATGTGTATGAGTGTGTTGCCTACATGTATATAAGTGCACCCATGTTGTGCAATTCCCATGGAGGCCAGAGAGAGCATCAGAGCCCCTGATACTGGAGTTACGGATAGTTGTTAGCTTCCATGTCAGTGCTGGGAACCAAACCCAGGTCCTCTGGAAGAACAGCCAGTGCTCTTAACCACTGAGCCACCTCTCCAGCCTCATTTTTTAATAATTAAATAGAACCTAGATAACTTCCCTTTACCATTATGATTAGATAGGTCTCCATTCTAAGATCTTATCATTTATATTTTCTTTAAAGTTTTTTCATGATTTCCAACTGTGCATTCAAATATTTAATGGAATATTAAAATGAAAGTGTTAAGGTTCACATAGCCCTGCCTTCTCACCAACAGGATCTCAAGGACTTCTCATGCTCCTGAGAAAAGGAAACCTAGCTGATAAGCACCTTGGTCTTTGAAGTCAAGAGAAGCAGACTTTTCTCCACTGTTGGGACAACACAGCAGTCTTCCCCTTTGATCTCTAAAGAGGACAGGTTTTAACAGTCCTTCTCTCCCACTCCCACCCCCCCAACTTTAAAAAAATACGTCTTCTTGCCTTCTGCAGGAAGCAGAAGTCTCCCTTTTAAAAAGACCCCAGCTCAAGACCCGGGCAGACATTTTCCATGCCCAGAAGGGAGTCTGTTCCATGTGTTCCTTTGCTAATAAACCCTATTTTGATGGAGTTTTAGCTGTGCCTCGGTGCCTCATCATCCATTCGCTCGTTCTTTGCCAACTTTTTACCTATCAGAAAGGACTAGACTTACTTGTTGAAACAGTTGAATCAGTTGTCCCAGCAATATTTACAGAGCAATTTTGGCTGACTTTAATAATTATCAGTTCCCCCCGCCCCCGCAAAAAAAGTCCATATTCCTATCTGTTTCTGAAATGTTTGCCTAGTCCTTTGATTTTTTTTTTCTTTTTTTTTTGTCTTTTTGCGATAGGGTCTCCTTGTAGTCACAGCTCACCTGGAATGCACTATGTAGACCAGGTTGGCCTCCATCTCACAGAAATCCACCTAACTCTGCCTCCCAAGTGTTAGGATTAAAACCATGCTCTACCAAGCCTGGCTGTCTAGTACTTTGAATGCCAGTGAGTTCCTATACTGTGCTGTGCTGAACTATCTGGTTGTTTAGCTTTATATTTTAACCTTTAGATCATGTAATTTAATGGAAATTTTTTCTTCCATTTTATTTTATCTCTTGGATATTTTTCTTCTGTGTGTTCAAGACAGTACTGTTAGGAGTTAGTTAAGGGTAGACACTAAGGGAGAAGGTCAGAAGGAGAGAAGAGAAACTATTCCCACTTAACTCTGGGAATGTGTCAAAACAAGGCCATACACCAAAAAATAAGACTATGGGCCTGACAAGGCCATTAGTCAGACATCAGTCATCAGTCCTTGGCAGGGCCATAAGGGCCAAAAGACAGTATTAGAAGAGGGAGACAGGAGAGGAAAACCTGTGGACCCTGTGAAAGAACCAGCCCAGAAGTCACTTGGTGGTCTACCAGCTCTGGAGACCCCACCTGGCAGGACAGGGCATTCTGTTCTTTCCTCTCTGCCTCAATAAAAGCCTGCTTTCACACCTTTCTGACTCTTTGCCTTATTCCTCCCTGGGCATTCAGTTCATTGCCTGCCTCTGGGAAGAACCCTGACTCCAGGGCAATGGCCCTCAGCTCACACACAAGTATGAATTTTACTGGAATTGCATTAAACTTGTGAACTGATTTTGGGAAAATCTATACCTTCCAGCAAACGGTCCCCTATCTACAGATGTTCAAAGCCTCTGTTCCAATTTCATGCTTTCTTTCACTTCAGGATGATTATTAAGTTTGTTTATTTCTGGTAGGAAGGATGTGTGTGTGTATGTGTGTGTGTATGTGTGTGTGTGTGTGTGTGTGTGTGTGTGAGAGAGAGAGAGAGAGAGAGACTTATTTTTAGCATACGTTTTCTAAATCCTTATAGTAAGTTCTATAAAAACATGTATAATGTCATGCTTGTCTTTTGAAATGACCTATTTATCCTCATTGCTTTTGATGAGGGAGGGCAGATTGGTCCTCCATCTCTGAGAACCATGTGAGCAGCATGCCCAGCTCTGCAAGTGCCCTGGGCTGCCTACATAACACGATGGCCAAGGCCCACCCAACTTCTCAGACTGCACTGCCATGCTTGCTTACTGTGGCCTCATCTAGTGTAAATACTTACTCTCAATTTTCTTTATCCTCATTTCCCAGGGGATGAAGATGACCGCAAAGTTACAGGCCAGACGGGCAAGTTTCCGCCAGAGCTAGAAGGAGAGGCCACAATTAGAAAGTTTCTCATTCATGGGTTTGGCAAGGACTGGGACTCTGGGGTCCTAAGTAGAGGAGGGACTCCCAGACACACTCACAGAACCTTTAACTATGGCTTCACAGGCCATTAACAGCCCCAGGACTAATATAACCTCTTATCTTCCTCTGTCCTGACTAGGTTAGGTGGTACATACCTGCTCTAAGCTCTGAGCTGTAGAGTCTGAATTGATCTACATATTCTTCCCACAATCATTCTTTTTTTTGAGACAGAGTTTCATGTATCCCAGGCTGGCCCTAAACCCACTATGTATCAGAGAATGATCTTGAACCTCTAATCTTCCTGCCTCTACCTCCCAAGTACGGGGATGTGCAGGTGTATATCACTGTGTGGGTTTATGCATTGCTGACTGAAATAAGGGTTTTGTGCATGCCAGGGACTCACTTTCCCAATAGCTACATCCCAGTCCCAGGGTATAGATTCTTTGCTTTATTCATACCAATTCTGAGGAAAGACCAAGAAAGTGGTGATCATGAAGGAATGTCATCTCAAGACATTCATTCGATTCTGTTATAGACCTCTAGTAGCTCTGTGTCAGGAAGTCAGTGACTTACCAAACTCCCCAGGTGATTCTATGTACGCCCGTTTAAGGACCAAAAGTCTAGTGTCTTCCCAGAAAAATGAGCACACAACAAGCGCATTGCATACCCGACTATAGAGTCGCTTCCTAGCTTCTGTCCTAGCAGAAGCTGCCAGGAATAAGGTTGGGAAATTTGTCTTGCGCATTTAAGATGCAATTGCCAAAAGTCTGAAATTCTTTTGTTCTCAAAGGAGAATAAAGCAAAATGTGCCCCCATGCTGTCTTTGTTCTCTGGCAGAATTGGCAGGTTGTACATTTTAACACACAAACAATCTGGGTTCGTGTTGGAAGCAAATGATATCACTGCACAAAGAAGGGCTACAAATGTAATTACAGCATTCTCAGCTGTAAGACAACACACGCTCCTGACACAGGCTTACATGATAATGTCATTCTGGATGTGTCTGCTAAGGCCAGATGGCTGCTTGCCAATGGAAATCTGAATTTTATCAGAAGTTGGAATTGTCTTCAGCTTGTGATTTGAGGTGTGAGTCAAAAACAGCCATTCCTGGGAGCAATCACAGCTGGAAAGAAATGACCGTTTATAAATTCACCTTGCTTGGGTCACTGGTCTCTCTTGCAATTTTCTTGTGTCTGCCTGGCATCACCTGCATTTTGTACACCTGCTCCACCTCTGGAGCACAGAGAACATCTCCAAGCTTTCTGACTCCCTGTCCAAATGGCATCTGGGAGGCAGGACTGCTCAAACATCCTTTGGCAACGGCCTGGGGTTAGAAAACATCTGCACTGTTTTGAAGTCCTAAAGTCTGTGAAGGACAGGACAGGCGCCCAGAGATCTGAGCTCTAGCTCCATCTCTACAGCTGTCTTGCTCTGAGCCCTGTGGAAGTTATTTCCTTGGGTCTCTATCAGCTCATGTGCAGAAGGAGCAGCAGAGCTCAGTGAGAGGCACCCAGTACTTTTTGAATGGATGATTTCAGTGCCTGGCTGAAGCAGGGTAGCTGTGCAACTGCAAGATGGAAAGTCTCCATGTCAGCCTGGAGCCCAGGAGCCAGACTCAGAGTGCACCGGCTTGAAGGACTGCCTCTGTCACCCCTCCAGGCTCATTTTGCAATGAGAGCCTATGATAGCTTTGCCTAGGAGGCCTTCCTAGAGTCAAAGGAAGGGATGGAGCGGTGTGGAGTGCTGCCAGTTGTGGAATGCCACCTTCTGGATGTGGCATGGCCCATACTCTTGAACTCTCTTTAGCTATGATTATCTGTAGGACTGCCTGTCTCTGCTTCCAGCGTACTAGGATTAAAGGCGTGTGCCACCACACTGGCTTTGCCCCAGTTATTTAGTTAGGTGCTTATTCTTTTCTCTTTGGTAAGAAAAAAGTTCACCTGGGATATGTGTGTTCTAACAACATCAAAGCTCCTGAAAAGTGCAGTCATTCCCAGCATGCCTGGAACCACCAAGCTGCATTTGCCTGCAGTGCAGACAGTGAACAAGGCAAGACAAATGGCAGCTGATGCAGAGCTTGAATCCTGGCAGAGAGAGGACAGCCACAACCAAGCCAATGGCACTGAAGGCAGTCCCCCAGTGCAGGAGGCAAAGGCGCGGTCACACAGGGAGGTCTGGAAGTCTAGCTGCTGAGAATACACTTGAGCTGAGGTTTGAATGAATAGGAAGCAACATTTAACAAATAAACTGGAATAAACTGGAGGAATACCTACTGTCTTTATGCATCAAAGGTCTAGCAGAAGAGGAGGCACAGAACTAAACTGAATCAGACGGAAATGTTCCCTACTTAGCCACTGACAATTCTTTCAACAATTGGGCAGCCATGCCCAATAAGTACTGGTGAAACTTGCAGTCAGTCTCTAGGAATTGCTGAAAATTGGGGTTACCTTCACACTCCAAAACCTGCTTTGAATTGCTCAGAATATGCCTTTAATATAGGTGAGCTTTATTTGGGGGTGGGAGCAGGGCTTTGCTTTGTAGTTCAGGCTGGCTTCAAACTTGCAGTCTTTCTGTCTCTGCCTACTAAGTGCAGGGATTATAGGCATGTGCCTATACTGAACTAGTCTGTTAATGTAGTTTTACCTTAAATATACCTTAAAAGTCTTTTAATGTATGGTGAATTTGCTAAAAGCTCCAACAACTTTTTATTGCTGTATATAGTATGTCCTTTGAAGTCAAACAAGTTCTTCTGTTATTTAAAGTTGTTTCCCCATAGCACCACATGTGGTTTATTGAGTGCAGCATATGGAGTCCTTGGCCTTTTCGATCATGAAGTAGAAGATTTCATTGAGAGTAGAAGAAAGAATGCCAAGGCCAAACTCTGAGGATTTTTAAAAATCATTTTACAGACATAGAAGCTTTAATTTAATCTTCACTAAGAATATTTTTGTCTCAGAAAATTTAGTGAGTGTGCTGGATAGCTTAAGTGTCAACTTGACACACCTGGGTTGAGGGAGCCTCAATTGGGGAATTGCCTCTATTGGACTGGCCTGTGGCCATGTCTGAGGGGCATCTTCTTGATGAGTGATGTGGGAGGGCCCAGCCCACTGTGGGTGGTGCCACCCCTGGGCAGGTGGGCCTGTGTTGCATAAGAAAGCAGGCTGAGCAGGAGCCA